ATTGCTCCTCTTTTCTGACTGCTCTTCGAGAGAATCTTTATCAGTTGATTACATCAACACCTATGTGCTTTCAAATCATTTTGTTTTGCACTAAAGGCAAGGCTGGGCTGTCTCCTCCTCCATTTTTCTTTATTTCATAGACTGGGTGACTTTGCTTAGCTTAAAGCTGGGGAGGAGATGATGGATCATAAAAACTTTCCCAGCTTCACATTATTTGGGATGATTAAAGAGTGATTTTAGAAAAGTTTCACTGCCAAAATGTTTTCCGTTCTTTTAACAATGCTTATTTGGATATAAATCTCAACAACTGCTTCAGTTTGAAATGTAGAGTTATCCTATAAATGCTGTTTCAGAATTGAAAAAGCACCTTTTTATACTCGTGAAAAGTGACCCCCATGCCTCTACCATGAATTAGTCTGGACTCTACCTCAAAGGAATGACCAGTATCTTATAAATTAAAAAAACAAGTAAATGTTTATCCTAGATTAGAAGGTTATCATTTTAAATTTTAGAATGTTGGTTTATATGAGTTTTCTCACTTATACTCACAATATCCCCATAAAGTAGACAGACTAAATATTCTCTATTTTTCTCATTTTGTAGACTAGCAACTGGTAAGTGAGCTAAATAGCCCCCAACTAGTCATGCTGGAGTGGAATAACCATTTTCTGGCTTCCCAATTAATATATACACTGACACTGAACAGCACTCTACAGAGTGCTGATGTAGCATTCAAAGGTCAGATATTTTGTTGTCTGAATAAAATTACAGAAGCTAGGTTGAAGAATAGTTTGATTGAATTAGGAGATAAAAAAGAATTTGAGTCTAAACAGAAACAGTGCTGTTCTACTCTTTTACTGATGCCATTAAATGAAGCTGAGCCAGGTGGTGGTGGTGGTGGCAGCGGCGCACACCTTTAATCCTAGCACTTGGGAGGCAGAGGCAGGCGGATTTCTGAGTTCGAGGCCAGCCTGGTCTACAGAGTGAGTTCCAGGATAGCCCGGGCTATACAGAGAAACCCTGTCTCAAAATAAATAAATAAATAAATAAATAAATAAATAAATAAATAAATAAATTGGAATGAAATTATCTTTAGGTGGTGCTGGGTTTACTTTCTCCAAAAAAGAAACATATTTTCCTGAGTACAATAAAATTTAAGTTCATAATATTAATAGCATTTCACTAAGGTGACAGTTAATATTTTACATTCTGTCCCAGGTTTTTCTTTGTAAGAGTGTAAATTTCCCCTTTCACTGCACAGAGCATGGCATAGCACACTCTACTCCCTATCAGATTTATAGAAGACCATTGTCCTAAGAAGGGACAAGATGTGTCCTATCATGCTGGAGCACAAAGGAATTAGCCACATGAACTTTGCTGAATAATTCTTCTTCAGCAAGAAGGAAGCTCTCAGTGAAGGTGACGGAGAACAACCATCCTATGCTCCAACCAATCAAGATGGAACACATACCAAATCTATTATCTCTTACTTTCCATGCTCACAAGAACTGTGCATAAAAAGAAAGGCTAGGATACAATGTAAGCAGTATGTAAAGTTAATGAGAAAAAAATAAATTTTAAAAATGTAAAAAAAATAAAGATAAAAAAATGATTAAAAATCTAGAAATAAACCAACCAAACGAAAACACAGTGTTTGTGATTAGTCAGGGAGGTGCATCCCACTGTTCTCCAGCTTGTAGTGATCACTTCTAGTATTATAGTGATGAGGGAGGCATGAAAGAGGTTGCATGGTCCAAACTAGTGGCATATAGTAGAAAAATCAGCGACTAACGCTCTCAACAAAACCACTTGAGAATATCACCTTGAGTGAGGTAACCCAAATCCAGAAAGAGATATATGCTATGTACTCACTTACAAGTTGACATAAATAGCCATAAAATGCAGGAGAACCCAAACTGGGTAATGAGGAGGTCCCAGGGGAGGATTGCGAGTCTCATTCAGAAGGGGAGACTAAACAGTCATCAGTGATGAATGGGGAGAGGGAACTGGGTAGGAGAAGAGGTGCAGAGGGAAATGGGGATGGCAATCAGGTGGGTGAGCGAGAGAAGGCTGGGGGTAAGAATAGATATTGGCTGGGCGGTGCAACTCTGGTGAATAATTGGAGGCCTGGGGATGGGAGAGGATATGGGGAGTCTATGGGAATGACCCTAGCTGAGACTCCTACCAGAGGGGATATAGAGTCTGAAGTATCCACCTCTTATAGCCAGACAGGACTTCCAGAGGATAGAGAGGAACATCAATCCACTCACAAAACCTTCAACCCAAATTTTGTCTTGTCTACAAGATATGCAGGAATAAAAATGGAGCAAAAACTGAGGAAACCATCAACCAGTGACTAGCCAAACTTGAGACCCATCCCATGGAAGAGAGCGCCCCCTGACACTATTAATGATACACTGCTATGTTTGCAGCACCAGATGGAGGCAGATGCAGAGACCCACAGTCAAACATCAGGCAGAGTCCAGGGAGTCTTGTGGAAGAGTCATCGGTAGAAGTCAACAAGTCAGAGGGGTCAAGGACACCACAAGAAGACCTACAGAGTCAAGCAACCTGGGACCGTGAGGGCACACAGAACCTGGGCAACTGCTCAGGGAGCATGCAGGAGGTAGAGCTAGTCCTCCTACATATTTGTAGCCATGTGAAGCTTTGTCTTCACGTGGGTCCCCTAAGAAAGGGAGCAGGGGCTGTCTCTGTTTCCTGCCATTGAATCCCTTTCCTTCCTACTTGGACTACATGGTTGGGCCTCAGTGGGAAAGAAACCCTACAAGAACCTCACAATTATACCTTATATTAGTCAAACTAAGTGCCCTACATATTAAAATAAATATGATGTAATTGGTGTCATTTAAATATTCAACAAAGAAGTTTTCCATGAGCTCTGTTACATTTTTCCAATCACAACACACACACACACACACACACACACACACACACACACACACACACACACATTTTTTCCACCAGACTTTCATAAAGCACAGTTCTACTTGGAAAGCCTACAGAATGCAGTCTTACAAGATAGATCAGGAATTCCCCACTGATATGAAGGTATAGAAAGGTGGAATTAAGTTAATTCTCAAGCCTAACCAGGACTAAGGAGCAGAGAAAGATGCAGTGACCCTTAGGTCAGCAAACTAGAAGATACAGCGAAAGAATCAGTAAACCATTGATACTTACCTCCGATCAGAAATAAAATAGTGCCAAGATAATCTAGAAATCATCTTTCCAATAATATTTTGTGGCTTCAATTGAAGTGCTATTTTTAATATTTGAGTGAACGTTATTGCAAAAGGCCTACAAGTGTTTAGAAGAGCTTCATGCTACATACATAGGCTGTGCGGCATACCTTAAAGCCAACTGTTATCTTATGGATTTCTCAAGACCCCTTGTACATGCTTTTCTCATTTCCATCCAGGAATGTGAGCTCACACATCTGACAGAAAAGTTTTTCTTAGAGAGTGGCAATTTTGAATACCCTTTGGGGCCACAAGGAAACATCTGTGTGTGTCTAATGGATGATATCCTTGGTATTCTCGCTCCAAGCTTAGTGCTCACAGTATGTTTCTAGAATATACTTCTTCTTCTGCTTTTCAGTCACTTTTCTTCATCCTGGACTCAAACCTTTTAACAACAGTAAGGTGGCCTGCTTGGGCTTTTTAATTTTAAAATTTATTATCTAGCTCCAAGAGGTTTAGAATACCTGTGCCACTATCATGGACCGCAACAAGTTCAATGCAGTGATCAAGGAGGCCTCCAGGACCCAGGCAGATGGCTGCTACCTACACTCCATGGTTTGGACAGGATTGGATCATTTTACATATGTATCAACTTTTACAGATCTCAAAGTACTTCCACAGGAATTACTACTTGAACGTAACTGTTACTTTTGCATGGGATCAAGGAAGCTAAGTGTAATACCATTGATATTTTATGAAAGAAGAAAATAAAGATACAGAAGATATCACACATGGTGTAAAATACACAATGGAAAGCCAACATGAAGTACTGTTGAACAATACAACCATTTGTAAGGCTCAGGGAAGATTGGGGAAGACTGGGTGAAGACATTGTAATAGCCACAATATCAGGGAGTTTGCTGTGAGATTGTGTTTCCTAGTGATATCAGAAACTACAACCGTAGAGTCTCACCAATAGTACTACAAAAACATGAGCTGAACAAGAATAACACCAATATACATGCTACTGTAGAAGGGGAAAGCTCAAAAGGCCTCAAGCCAACACAAAGAACTATAGGCAAGTAAGGAATGCTGGGAGTGGGAGAGGTGGTACTTCTCAAGGAAGAACATACGGATTGGTTATCCAATACCAAATCATCAACCCTGAAAACACATATGCCAGTAACATTATGTAGGCTGAAAAGATTACATTTAGGAATATATATGTATCTACACACACATATATGCATGTAATAATAATTACTAAATTAAAAAAGACAAGAATTTGAAAGAGAGCAAGCAAGGGTACATAAGAGGGCTTAGATGGGAGAAAGGGAAGGAAGAAATGATAGAATTGATTTATAATCTGAAAACCAAATACTTTTTAAAAAGAAAGCAGACTAAACAACTCATGAGAAATAAGTAGGTAAGTAACAATCGTCCATGGCTACAACATCAGCTCCTATGTCTCAGTTTCTGCCATGACTTCCCTTAGTGATGGACCATGATGTAACACTGTAAGTTGACATACCCCTTTCCTCTCACCCAAAAAAGTTCCTGGGTATTTTTTAAATGTGATATGAACTAAGCATATCTCTCTCTCTCTCTCTCTCTCTCTCTCTCTCTCTCTCTCTCTCTCTGTGTGTGTGTGTGTGTGTGTATCTGTGTGTCTGTGTGTGTGTCTGTGTGTCTGTGTGTCTGTGTGTCTGTGTGTGTGTGTGTGTAAATGACAAAGAGATTTGAGAGTGTGAGAGGATTATGAGAAGGTTGGAGGGAGGGAAGGGAGAAAGGACACAATTATACTTTAAGCAACTTATTTTTATTCTAAAAATCCTTAAGTTTTAGTGTAACATTTAACGGTAGACACTGTGCTCATGTTTATCTCATTTCATAAAAGTTTTTGGATGTGTTGCCTGCTATACATCCCTTATGTCATCAGGAGGACCTTTAGAATCAGAAATAAATCACAAGTCCTTGATAACAACTCTGGTTTCTAGATCACTGATTCTTGAGAATAGCATATTTCTTGTCCAGCTCTGATCCATCTTACTGATCTCTAATAACATATAAAATAACACAAAGAGAGCAGCTCAATCTCCATTTCTTCCTCTCTTAGGCCCTGTCATCATGAAATAACTCACTGATGCTGAAACTAAACTTAAGCTATGATCAGAGAAAGGGCTTACTGTCAACCCACTTGTGAAAAATAAATGCAGCCACTAAAGATACCAACTCACACAAAACTCACACAAAACAATTCTTAGTGCCGACATTCTAAATATTCTCAGTCTGATGAGATGCAGTCTGCCTCCAATCATAGCTCTAACCACCCCCACTGTTGCTGAATCCTTTCTCTTATAAACAAGGGAATCAATAACCAAATGCTAGGGAAAGTGTCAAATAATAAATGTACAATATGTTACTTAAGAAAGCTAAGGTGACATTCAAGAAGAACTACAGATTGGCGTTTTCTAACTACCAGATTCACTCTGCAGTCACTCGCACTGCTGTCCAGACTCTAATGCTAACAAGTTTCATTTTCAAGTTTGGCTTCCTGTCTTCCATGATCCTTTTGCCCTGACAAATGAATTGGTGTATTTAAATTTTAAGATGTTGCTTTTGTTAATTTTTCAATACCTATGAAATCAGAATATACTTGCTATCCAATAGTATTCTATATTGACACTGGGCATAGATGCACATGACTGGGAGTAATCATTGTGTGTGTGTGTGTGTATGTGTTTGTGTGTGTGTGTGTGTGTACATATGTTTGCAAAGTCAGTGATATCTGTGCTGATATTATGACTTATACTAAAGATAGTCTCCTATGTAAGTGTTAATAAAGCAGTCATAAAATTAAAAATGTATGGATAAATCCTTTCAAAACAGTTCTCTACAAATGGATTTATTCTCAGCACTGCACCTTTATTATACTAGAATTTTTTTTAAGTATGGTAAATTTCTCAAAGCTTCAACATAACAGTCACTTCTGAGAGTTCTGAAGTTTGAGATATCTCACATGCAACTGCTGAGAAGCCTTCTCAGTATCATAGTAGAAAACTTTCTAGGTGCCAATAAAAGATTATTCTTCAAATACTTTTCATGAACTATTATCTTGTTGGGTTGCTTTTGTTTTGTTTGTTTGTTTTTACTTTTATCTACTTACAACTAAAAAATTCCAAGAAGAAAATACAAACACTAGAAAAAGGTATTGGTAACATCCATCAGAATAGGAATATACAACTACACATAAGTAGGCTATGAACCTATTTTTCTACACTAAAAGCTTTAAGGTTAGATATTCTAGATCAATATGTATGCTATTACATGATACATATAATGAGAATCACACATTTAAATTAAAAATTTCATGTAACATTTGAAAAAGTTTAAAAATCAAAAGAAATTAATTTTCATTGTATTTATTTTGCTCAACATAGCAGGCCATTACTATGCTTAGTGTTGCTATTGCCATGCTAGCTCTCTGTGCTTCAAGTGGCAATGCCCACGGATTTCATTATATCTCCTATACACCTAAGTCAGCCTAATCAATGTATGTATTTAATCAACCACATAAAATTATTCCATTCCAGAACATTTGATGAACCATGATCAACCATAAAAGTATGTTCAGAAATTCAAACATGGCAGCTAGTTCCAGCCTTTTAAACCAATTACTTTAAAAAATGACAATAACATATTGTTCGAGACCAAGCATGTGGCGAGACAGTTCAGAATGGTGATCTCCAAATCTTGCTACTGATGCATGAATTCTTCTCAAGCACTACACAGGCAGAGATAGTATCACAGCATCTACTTTCAGATGTTCACCCTTCATATGTATTCTCTCCCAAAATGACCCATATGAGAACAAATACACCCAAAATTCTAAAATTAAGCATTATTTTTCCAGCTATCACCAATACTAACAACCGTTTTCACTAGAAAGCAATAAACCTAATGAACAACAATATCTATCACTAGTGGATTCTATTAACTGTAACTGGATGTTCTCCAGCAGTAAAAGAAAAATGTTTATGCTGTAAAATTGTATGCATAGAAAAATTTTTTTCAGTTAGTTAAAAAAAACTTTTCTGATTATACTATGTAATATGTCTTCCAATTAAAATCAATTCTCATTTCATCTTAAAATTACTTCATTATCTGCATTACATTATAAAACTTAAAATGCTAATTAGTTTTAACAACAGATACCCTTCTATATAATGAAATATAGTTGAAAAGTTTAATTCCATAGTCAACAAAGTTCATGGATTAAAGAAACGCTATGTACAATCAACAATTTCCATAAACTCATCATCAATGTTCTAAAAGCAAATGCATATATATTTACCAAAGGAAACTGTACTTGACATCAGAATCACTGATTCACCTCTCATGACCTCAGTTATATATTACATGGTTTAATTTAAAATTGCTTACCAGAACTAAAATAATTTATAAGTGGATAAAATACATCACTATTACCTTAATTTATCTATCAGTAAGTATTCCTTAATTAATTTCTCTGTGGTCTTCATAAGTATTCTAATATATATATAATGCTTTTCATTAAAAATTAAGTCTGATACTCTTAAAAGTAAATCTGATTTTGCTAATTATCTTGACATGAACTGTGCCTTTTCCAATTAAATTATAACTGAATATTTTGTATAAAATTGATTCAAATCTGTACTTTCAAGTTTTTATATCTAAAGTATATAATAATTTCAAAGTAGCTTATTAAAATTATTGCTTTGGGAAACACATATTGATCTACACATTTTGATTCTCCTAAGCTATTATAAGAATAGGGAACAAAAATAAATGCCCCCCAAATAAAAGTATAATGACTCTGTTATTTGGTAAATATTGGTAAAGAGGTTTTGATAAGCTTCCTAGAAATTGAGAAAAATCAATTGTTTCAATGCAACCTTTTGTAAATCACGGGGTCCCTTGTTTTCATGAAATTAGAGATACTTTTATGTATTTAAAATGTAATAATTTTTAAATTATTGAAAACCATTTTTATTTCAAGAATTTCTTGGTTCTGTCTTCTATTTTTCATTAGTATATACACAATGTGTTTTATGGACACATAAATGTAATGTGTCTTGACCATATTTACCCATTGTCCTCTCACCCTGTCACTTCTGATGATCCCCTTCCTCTTTTCAAGTAGTCCTCTTAAAAAGTCGGGTTTTTTTTTTCCAGAGAGGGTTTCACAACATAGCTGGCATTAACCTGAAACTTAAAATACTCCTGCTTCCTCTTCCTCTAAAATATTCCTCTTCCAAGTACTGGAACTACAGGCGCACACCACTACTTCAGACTAAGAAATGGTTTTTCTAATAAGTCACTGTGCTTTTGACTTGTGACTTAAATACTCATCCCATTCCCTTTTAATCACTTACATGAACAAAGTTACCTTTGTTCTAATACCTGTAAAAATTAAAAATAAGGGCCAGGAATGTAGCTCAGTGGCAGAGCACCTTCCTAGTATGTGCAAGGCTGTGGGTTCGATCCCCAGAGGACTGAAGACAATGAGAGGTGGGGCATTAGAAATAATAGTCATCTTCAGAGATGTGAACTAATCAAGAGAAAATTCCACTCATGCTCACTTAAGAGAGACACTTACAGACAATTCTACTTTTCACTTCTCATTATATACCAACAGGTCATAGTTTATTCTCTTCAGACCAAACATTTAGTACAAACAATTTAATGATAAAAATCTTAATATTTAGAGGCATAGACTCACAAGACAGTTTATTTCCATCCCCATATATTTTCTGCAGAGTTGTATGGTAGAATGACCAATTAAAGGCATTTAAATATAAACTATATTACATTAGAATGAATTATGTGAAGGAAGTACAGTGAATTGGTTATTTCAAGGAGGCAGAAAATCAGGTAAAGTTTTTGTTTGCCAAAGACCTTGTTTAATATTTTTTTCTGTTAAATCAAGTTAGAATGGTGTTTTACTTTGTTGAATAATTTTTTAAAAGTGATTAACTTGCTTTCAAGTATAAATATCCACATATTCACAATATAGTAATGACAACTTTGTGCATATTGAAATTTATGATAAATTTCAGATGCTAACTTGAAGACAATCGTGCAGTAATGTCTAACCTGTTCAAAGTGCTGTTAAGTGACAAATTATTAGTAGGTGTAAAAACAACTGTTAGAGAATATTCTCAGGAAAATCCAGAAAGAAAGAAATGGGAAAATTTTTGTATGAAAAGTTACAATTTCTGATTACTATTTGCATGTCAGCATATAGCAGAAAGCACTATAATGTGAAGTATGCTAACTTACACTGTTTTTCAGACATTTAAACAGTGGGACCAATTGTGGTGATGCATAAATACTGTACTTACTCAGTGTGGTCACTAGGTGGCAAATGCACACCATGCATGAAGGCCTCTCTCCGTCTTTCACTGTAGCTATTTCAATCTCAGGTCCCATAGGAAAAAAAAATAGAAAAATAAATCATTTTGAGTGAGGTAACCCAGAACCAGAAAGACAAACATGGTACTCACTTATACGTGAATATTGGCTGGAAAGTAAAGGATAATCATACAATCCACAGACCCAGAGAAGCTAAGTAACAAGGAGGGCTCAAGAGGGAGGGACAGATGAATCTTCCTGAGAAGGGGAGGTAGAAACATAAGACAATGAAAACATCCAAGCATCTACAAGGGTGATGCTAAGATGACTAGCAATCAGGATATGGAGCCTGAATCAGCCATCACCTGTAACCAGGTAAGACCTCTAGTGGAGGGATTGGAACAACACAGCCACAAAAACTTCAACCTACAATTTGCTCTGTCTGCAAGATGTGCTGGTGGCACAGAAATTGTAGGAGTGACCAACCAATGGCTGGTCCAAACGGAGACCCAGGCCACAAGAGGTAACCCACGCCTGACATTACCTGTAAGACCAGGAAACAGAGACAGGGTATCCTAGAATACCCTAGGCTACAGATCTAGGATAAAATCAAACATGACCAGAAAAAAGTCAATGAAATGATTCCAAATGATACTCTTCTATATTTTAGATAGGAGCCTAGCTTCTTCTTCTTCATCATCTTCATCATCATCATCATCATCATCATCATCCTCATCATGGAAGATGATAGAAACAGATGCAGAGACCCACAGCCAAACACTATGTCCAACTCTAGAAAAGAGGGGGAGGAAGGGTTGTAGGAGGCAGAGGACTCAAGGATATCACAAGAAAACCCTCAGAATTAACTAACCAGGGGCTCACAGAGCCTGAAGGGACAATCAGCGAGCCTGTATGGATCTGATCTAGATCCTCCTAAGTCCTCTGAATATATGTCATGATTGTGCAAATTGGTGTTCTTTTGGGACTCCTAACAGTGAGAGGTGGGGCTGACTCTGACTCTTTCATCTGCTTTTAAAGGAGAAACCCTTTTTCTCCTACTTGTCCAGTCTTGATATGAGGGAATGTGCTTTATCTTATTGCAAAATGATATGCCATGTTTGATTGATATCCCTGGGAAGCCTGCCCTTCTCTGAAGAGAAATGGAGGAATGGATCTGGGGGAGAGGAGAAATGAAGGGGGACTGGGAAGAGAGGAGGGAGGGGAAACTGTGGTCAGGATGTAATATATGAGAAAAGAATAAAAAAAAAGAATACTCACAGATGGAAATTAAAGATTCACCAATGTAGTTTAATTATAATAATAATAATAATAACAATAACAATAATGACAGTAATACCAATAGCAGCAATACCGGGAAACATAAATCTGGAGCCTTTCTTTCTGCCAAGGATAAAAGCAAATTCTTACAATATCTGATAATTTAGGAAATGACCTTGTTTGTGATGATACTCTATTTTTATTAATAGATTAATCTTTATTGGTTCATCTACAAATACAAATAAAGATATCTATGTCTATGATCCAATGTGTAATAGTTGTAAAAATCTAATCCTATGTAACTAAACAGTTTGTATCAAGCACACACACACAACCAACAGCAGTGCCATATACCTGCACAATACTCTAAGCACAAGGCTAAGCGTTCCATTACACAAATTCTCCAAGAATTCTGAAAGTGCTATGTCACACGTAATAAGGTATAAAAAATGACCTCACATCACTGAGCCAGTAAGTACAGTAAGTACTAGAACTTGGATGAAGATGTAGAATTTTCTATTAAATTTCAAAAGCTAACATTTAAATATTGAAGTACAATATTTCAACAGTGGGTTTTCTTTATTTGACTACATACATTTATTTATTTTTATGCTTCCATATGATTTATATCTATGACTCTGTAAATAGGTAAGTGTGTGTGCAATTCATCTGTCCTAAAGATGTCTTAGAGGTGTTTCTGGTAATTTCCATACCTACATTCATAGGGTATAATCAGCTAAGTGGAATCAATACTTGTTCTCGAAGAAGCAGCTAAAAACAAAAAGGTACATGAAAACTCATGAGTTTGTTTCAAAAGTGTGTATGTCTATTTATAGGTGATTCAAAGTCTATTTTCACAATGTAAACCCACATGTGTCTGTGTATATGCAGGTCTGCTTCTATTTGTAGCACGAAGTCCTGTGTGCATCTCTACACCCATTTTGGCATTTGTATATCTACATGTGCACTGATCTACTTGATGTATGCATAGAATTTGTATACCATTAAAAGCTTAGGAGACCACATGTAAAGCACTGTGATAGAGTATGACTATGTATATATGCAGCAGCACATGCAAATCCTAACATGTAAGGAAGTATCTGTACATGTGTGCAGTTACAAATCTGCATGTAGTTGCAAATGTATTTTATGTATTTTGTTACTTTTATTATGTATGCATATCTCTTCTGTGTTTAAGATGTGATCTACATGAGAATGTATGGTATCTATGCATATCTGCACTTTTAATTTTGTCTATATAAATAAGTGCATTTATAAAATGCTATATGCACATGTTTATAAGATTCTCAGTATATCTCCATCCAAGCTGGTATAAAAAGCCTGTAGAATTGTATCTGCATTCCCAATATCCATCTCTGCATGTGTCTATTCACATAATGTAGGCTTTGTTATTTGTGTGGACATGCTTTGCTGACTACCTATGTTCTTACATGTGAACCTCCCTGTGGCCATGCATCTGTGTATACACAGGGTATGTATGCATACGTATACTTTTACTTTCTTGCCAGTAATTCTCTTTACTTACGTCTAATAACTTGTTACATGTATGCTCTAGTATTTATTTGTATATTTATCTATTTGTGTACATATATGTCCATGTGAATGTCTGCATGCCTATATAGATACATCTTCATGCAAATTAGTGCATTTATATAACACTGACTGAACTTATGCATATATATGTCAATATTTATGTCTCTAGGTATGCATCTAAGATGTGAGAACTTAGCATGTATGGGAATTGTGGACACCTATGGAATGAATATCTTGATCTGTGGATTTATTTTGTGCCTGCGTCTATAATATAAATGGTCATCGGTGTTTGCATTATACACATGACTACAAAAGTGATCAAGTGTATATCTTTGAAGGCATTCTGTATACTTTCCATGTCTATGAATACAAATTTAATAGACACATATGCTTCTGAGAGATCTCTGTGCTTGTATAAGTATATGCTTATGGTTCACTGTTTGTAAACTGTTTACCATATTCCCCACATTTAAGACTGTTTATACACTTCTCCCTCTATACATACCTTTGTGCCATCTCTATATATGTATATGTGTATGTACAACTCTGGCTCTGTATACATGCTTGAGTTTTTGTGTATCTGTTTCTGGACATCCATGCACCTTAGCATATTCTTATTAATCTGAATGAGTTGCTATAAAAATTAAGTGTTACTCTGCATCCATTTCTATAAGCATCCTTGTATCTGTGTCTGTATGTCTATTTGCATAGTTACATTTTCATAGATGTATATATTCATTTCTATGTATCTTTGATCAATGTAACTATATACAGCTCTCTATAAATAAATTACTAATGCATATATAAATCTTCATTAATCTGTTTTTGTCTTATTGGTGTATGCATCTCTGAATGTATACTCACATGTTATGACTTGTGTACATTTATATGTGTGCATGTATATTTACATGTTTTAATGATGAACAGAACTTTCTGTATATGAGACATGACCATGTTTATACATTTGATCACAGGTATCCCTCTATGTTTGTGTGACTTGAAACATATGAATGCTAACATATAAAAAGTTAGACATTGTTATAGTTTCAGTATAGTAAAGTAGTTTTGTCTCATGAATTGAATCTGAGTATATCATATGTGGGGTAATTTACATTATGATGTTAAATGGGTACTGTGGATTACATCTCTCTATGTACAGCTCTTTTTCTCTATCATGTGCCTTGTGTATGAGCTTAAGAAGACAACTAAGCTAGATTACATGTAGAGGGGTTAATTTCTGGGCTGCTCAGTGCATCTCTATGTATGGTTAGGCAAGTCTGATAAGGTGAAGTGAGTCTGGGTGTGGTAAAGAAAATATTTCTGTTGAAAAGCCTTTGTACTTTAGAGTTAACAGTAACAAATGTTCATGCTATGGGGTAGCTTCCTGTTTAAAAGATGGTTCTAAATAATAATGATGACATTTGAAAAGCTAGTTAAGTTGTATACCCTCTGAGGGAATTTGTTGTGCTAGTCTATGCCTAATGAGTTATGTGTGTGAAGTGTGAGGTTACTTAAAGGTGGCAAGTGCAGCCAGCTGAGGTAATAACAATAGATTGCAAGCGCTGGCTCGATTAATTGTGTATTATGAGTATTGTGCATTTGATGTGAAATCTATGTATTTTGAATGGAGCCATAGCTTTCATGACTATAATTTTCTAGATGTGCTCAAGTCATTGGTAGTAATGTTCATTGACTCTAGAACATGTCCTGATGTTTCCAGGAAGATCGAGATTTTGGAATTTATACACTGACTCCAAAAATTCTGTTAGAAAAAGTTAAGCTTTGCACTTTAGACTATGTTTGCATTATGTAAAACTCTCCTTTGTTTTAATAGAGATGAAGTACCTCGACTGCGAGCTTCTTTCTGCACATAGTTTGTCACTTCTAAGGTCCATTCCAGTTCTGCGCATCATGAGGCAAGTCCATAATATATAGGTTAATTACAGATATGGGATGAGGTTTGTTAGGATTCTAAAGAATTTGGTTGAATAAGTATAAGTTTGGGATGTAATAGATCTTTGATATGTATTGTAAGTTCAGTTGAAATTAAGACACAATTCTTTGTTTTGTGAGGCATGTCATTATAAAGTTGAATGTGTGTGATTTGTGAGCCTTTTTGTTAGGTGGTTGCTGATTGAGTTTGTATGGGTTGATTATGTCTGCCCACTCTAGTGTCTACATCTTCCTACTTGCATATTAGGATTCTTATATACTGTTTTCATGCATATCCTGTAGATTTCAGATCATAAAGTGATGTAGCATGATGCGAAGTTGTAAGGAAATTCTGCATTTTCGAGTATGAGTGTTGCGGAAGTCTGCATTTTCAGACTATCTAATGTGGGCTAGGATTTAGTCCTGGGTGTTTTAGAGTGAGTCAAAATACAGGGAAAGCCCTGAAAATACGACATCTGTGTTACTGTGGGGTGTATCCATGAGCTTTGAAAGTATTTTGTACATTATGAAATGCATCCTTTGTTTGGATAGTTTGCCAGAGTAGTGTTGGGAGGGAGCAAGTACACTACAGCATCTGCCCAGATGTGCTGTAAAGGGCACGGCTGGTGAGTTGTTTGTAGAATATGCCATAGGTATTTATTCTGTGGGCCAAGTCTGAGTCCTACAGCAGTTCTGTGTGGATAAACATACCTTTTGTTTATAAAGCATTTATATTGCAGAATAATTGCATGTATTTTGAGGAAACTCTGTACATGTGAATTCAATTTTGTTTATCAGAAAGTTTTTCTGTCACAGGCTATGTCTGGTTAACATATTCCAACATCTATATATTATGGAGCTAATCTATGAATTGTGAGCTATGTCTGCCTTGTGTGCCAGGACAAATTGTAGATAGGGCAGTATGTTTTGGGCTAGTAGTGTAATTGTATGTTGTAGAGTACATTTGTTTGTTACAGAGAGATTTTTATATTGTATAACTTACTTGTGATTTATAAGTAATATTTTGGTGTTAAGGGATGAGTTTAGATAGACATCATAAGGTTCACTGAAGATCTTATAAGGTATTTTTATATATAAGATAATATCAGGTGCATTCTAGTGCAAATCTCTAACTTGGAGGTAGGACTATTTTTAATTTATTTTTTGAGCATTATTTTATACATGCACACAATGAAATACAATCATATATAATCCCTATTTCTTCTCTCCAACCCCCACAAAAAGGGTCTCTGCATGCTCCTCTCCTAACTTGATGTCATCTTCTTTGAGATAAGGTTGTATGTTATGATGGAACTATATGCTGTTAGCTTGTGTGTAGAATAGTAAGTTGGTTTTGTTACCGGGTAGTTAGGGCAGTAGTTCTGAAAGAATTTACACATTACAACACTCATGCATTCAGGCAATACAGGATGTTGTACAGTATTTCTTGGTGTTGTGGTGAGTTAGTCTATGTGTCTGATGCTCTAATGGTTTGGGTACATAAGGAAGTAGGTATCTGCTTTGTGGCAAGTTTCTGCATTCTAGTAGATGGATGAAACACCATACTTTGCAGAATGAATTTGGAATTTGGGTAAACTCTACACATCATGAGGTAAGAAAGACTGGTTTTTGTCTTG